GCTCGACGAAGAAGAATGCGCGAAGCAGAGGCAGTCCCCGCACCAGAGACACGCGTGGAACGACGCCGCTTCTCCGTCCGCGCGAGTGTGACGAAGTCGTTTGTGAACCAGCGCGGCTCGAGAACGGCACGCGCGTCTAACGCGACACCAGATAGTAGCACACAAAGCCACGCCGCGATACACGACGAGAACGATCATGCACATGTACAGCCGCGTTGGTCCGCGGGGGTTGTTTCACCATACTTGACCACGCTGGGTCAGTACGGGTTGATGAGTGAATAGAGGGGGCGGGCTATAGCCGGTTCAGATACCGCTCGCCATCGATGCTAGCCGTGGCTGGGAATTTATCTCGGGTTGCCTGATTCACAACTACACAATATGCATATATAAAGAGAGAGAGAGAACACACCGTAATATATAGCCGCATGCGTGTGAAATGTGGCAATTTCAGACCACGCATGTTGTATATTTAACATGTCTCCCCAGCGACGCAACGCAGCGTTTAAGTATTATAGTTACACACGCGGTGATCGATGAAAGTCAACGATATAACTTTGCCACGTGAAGTCGCCTCCATAAACAACACCGCGCTTAGTCACCGAGTGTCAACGGAGCGCGTGCAATTGTGACGCAAGGCGCGCGAGAGAGTGTCCCTGTAGGTTGATGTCGAGATTAGGGCCGGGCTCCTCGAATGGAACTAAACACAGAGGCGCAAGACCCCCCCCCCCTCGCCCCCCACACACACAAATCCGCCCAAACGGGCAAGAAGCGATCAGCACTCGCTGCTCAAAGCCGTGACCGGTGGCAGGAGTCGAACTCGTATGGGCGTCATCAGTGCGTGTTCGCCAACTTCGGAGGAGGGGTAAATATTTTTGTTTGTCTTTATTATTATTATTATTAATCCTAGCCGGGTGAATTTAAAACAACAACTCCAGCACATACCAACTTCACTCGTCCAGCCGTGTTGGGGACGCGGCTCTATCAGACTCACTGTTTAGTCCTCATTCACACTGCGTTCAACCACGGCACTGCAGGTGACAACAACACTCACCCACTCACCACACTGCAGGTCACAAGAAAGGCAAAGATCCCCCGTGTAGCCTTAACACACTGTTGGGGCAAGTGCTGTTAGCGAGCACCTATGAAGGCCGGAACGGCACACGAGGGGGTGGGTGGCCAGCACCACGCCCGGCCCCCTTTGTCTTCCGAATGGCGATGTTTACACACCGCACCAGGTACTCATTTGAGGCTGAGTCGACCTAGGGGAAGCCCCGGAGCGGTTCAGATAATCGCCATTGGTGTTGGCCATGAATAGGAATCGAACTCAGTTCGTCGGGTTCGTAGCGCAGCGCGCTAACCACTACGCCACCACAACACTCACCCACTCACCACTCCGCAGGTCTGCAACACTGACGCGTCCGCTTCTTCCTATGCACCGCTCCGCTTTGTAATTCCCTCCCCTCCAAGTCCCGTACAATAAATAACTTTGCCCAATTCAAGAAACGTATTTGACTTGAACACACGGCATCACATCCTCAACAGTGACTGCTTGTTGCTGGCCGCTCGGCGTGTCCGGCCGTTCGAGCAACGAGCGTCGATGCGAGAGGCGCACGTGACCCACGCAGGGACGTGGGTCACGTGGCCGCACCTATTGTCACCTGGAGCGCGGGGCACGGGGGCTGCCAGGGTACACGCGTGCGACGGGTGTCTGGACGAACACAAAAACAGGCAAAGATCCCCCATATAGCCTTTTTAACGGACCGTTGGGACAAGTGCTGTTAGCGAGCACCTATGATGGCCGGCACGGCGCACGCGAGGGTGGGTGGTCAACCCCACGCCCGGCCGCCTTTGTCTCCCCAGTGCTGATGTTGAACACACAGCACCAGGCAATCGTTAAAGCGGAGTCTACCTCGGCAAGGCCCAGGACCGGTTAAGATATTCGCTGACACTATTATTGGTCGTAAGCTGGAATCGAACTCGGGTCGCCAGGTTCATGCGCAGTGGGCTAACCACACACACACATTCCACTAGACATATACACATTATACACTATACACATACATCGTGCACACGCATATGCGCTACATACACGCACGCTATACACACACACACGCATACCGTACGTTATAAATACATATGCACATTTAGTATACCAGATAAACAACGATATATTTAATACGTTATATACACACACACGTCATACTCTATAAACACACAGATATATAATATACTTAATGCACATACATATAGCATACATTACTGACACGTATCGTATACTCTAGATGCACACATCCCCCACCTCCGATTAGCACGATTGTGAACGTACGGTGCGAAAGAAGTCCTTAAGTAACGCGGACATAATTCACATACACATATATTGTTAGGAACATACAGATAAACAATACTAGGTGGCTTGATACACACAGGTACACACACTTATACATTGTAAACACACAAGCGATATGTTGCCAAGACAAACCAATATTACACAACAAACATAACGGAAACACAAACGTGCATCATGTTACGTGTACATATACACGTTACATACAACAGATATAATGCACTATATGTACATAACGCAGATTATTCATTCGAAAAAAAAAAACACGTGGAACCAAACACGTACACACAATGGTGGTGACGGCACACAACTACACCCCCAACTACACCCATATGTATATGCAAAGACAAAGATCCCCCGTTTAACCTTAACAGACTGTAGGAGCAAGTGCTGTTAGCGAGCACCTATCAAGGCCGGCACGGCGCACGAGGGGGTGGGTGGCCAGTAACCACGCCCGACCGCCTTTGTCTCCCCAGTGGCGATGTTTTTACATCGCACCGACTACTCATTTGTGGCCGAGTCGCGTTCGTAGCGCAGCGCGGTGACCGCTACCCTACCGCTCCGCAGACATCCCAAGAATCGCAGACATAAATCAAAACACTCGGATTCACATCATGCACGATATTACACACCACTCAAGGAGTGACTGGAGACACACGCAAATGCAAACACGTACAATGATACGTAATATACATACATCAACCTTACACAATAAACATACAAAAACACACACACACACACCTCTTGCATAAAATACGTTAATAACAAAACGATCGATTGACAAACATACAAAAATTGATCAGATTTATCACGACCTAGTGATACACAAACGACGGGACACTGGACCATGCACATATAAACACATAACATACTTTAAACAGATATATCGCCAAGATAAATCAAGCACACAAACACTTAACAGATGTCTCTTATACATAAATTAAATAAATGTTGGGGTTGTCGGTTGCACATCTAACACATCTAGAAGTACACACACGACACAACATGTTGTGCATACAGAGCATATGCAGTGCCCGCACGAACACAATCGTTTACATCGAAAAAGTATGCTTGCAATTCTAGAGGTAACTGGACATATCTATACACTACACTTACACACATGGATGTATATACACGCAGAGTGCTTAACACACACGCACACACGTACACACATGACGAGAGGTGGCAGGAAACACACATACGCACAGCATGGCGTACATATACTACGCAATGACACACACACATTAATTACATACGGCGCATACCCATGCGTGCAACGCCAGCCTACGCTGACTAATCGACAGAACCGTACACAGATATTAAGATTCGCCATCTCGCTTTTGCAGACCGTTGGCCCAAGTGCTGTGAGCGAGAACTTATGAAGGTGGCACACATACAAAGATCCCCCGTATAGCCTTAACAGATTGTTGGGGCAAGTGCTTGTTAGTAAGCACACCTATAAAGGCCGGCACGGCACACGAGGTGGGTGGCCAACACCACGCCGGCCGCCTTTGTCTCCCTAGTGGCGATATGTTCACACGTCACCAGGTACTAATTTGAGGCCGAATCGACCTAGGGGAGGCCCAGGAGCAGGTTCAGATAATCATCACTGGTGTTGGCCGTGAGTGGTAATCGAACCGGGGTCGCCAGGTCCGTAGTGCAGCGCTAACTGCTATACTACGCCACACACACGAACACGCCGTACATAAACCACACACACCGCGGGTGTATTTACACACACACACCTCGATATTGCCGCTCACAGCCAGCGCCGTTGTATGGCTACAGAACCTGTCCATTGATTTACAACTTTTTTATGCGGCTCCAAATATGCAGTGGCTTATCTCTGCAACGCGCCACACGAAAATTACACGCGCACACATCTAAATACAAGGACGTAGACCATGTACTTACAAACACAGTGTATGCACCGTGTGGGTTGTCTGCGTGTAGCCTGTGGGGACCGGTAGCGCAGCGGATGGTGCGCAGTGCTCCAAACACCCAGCGAGCAGAATTAGAATCCCGCTCACCGGCCAACACCGGAGACAATAACTAATCCATTCCTGGGCCTCCTATAAGTCGACTCAGCCTCAAATGAGTACCTGGTGCGGTGTATAAACATCACGACTCGAGACAAACAAAGGCGGCCGGGCGTCGTGCTGGCCACCCACCCCCTCGTGTGCCGTGCCGGCCTTCATTCGGTGCTCGCTAACAGCACTTGTCCCAACAGTCTGTTAAGGCTATACGGGGGATCTTTGTAGTCCAAGCTGTCGCATTTACCAAACCCGCACCCTGTTGCACGCAACCTGTAGTAATGATCAAAGTTTAATAATAAAAAATCTCGCCAAATTATCTCGCGTCGACCGAGTTGTTTTTCAAGTAACATTCATCCTAAATTACTACCAGCGACAGCTCGCTTGGAAAAACACCACAAGACCGCTTAAAAATAAAAACACACCGCGCGAAGAGCTGCATTGGCGTCGATGCATTGTGTCGCGTGAACGCTGGCGAGGCGGCGGCGGCGTTCGTGACATCGCCGCGCGGTGGAGGCCGCGGGCGGTGGAGGCCGCGGGCGGTGTTCTATCGCCTTGCGCGCCCAGGGCAAAACCTCGCGCTCGTCCGGGGGAAACAAATAAAAACCCATCCACAAAGTGCGTATAACTCACACCAAGTATTTTATTGTCGATGTTTCGTAGTACAGTAATAATTATACAAAAAACGTATAGATCATTGAAAATGCATAATATAATAACCTATATATGATATAATTTACACTATGGTACAAGGAGGAGGTCCCTTTTGCGAGCTCACAGTCCGTGGCGGCCGTCCCGGCGCCGTGGTGCCGCTCACGTGGTCAGTCCCCGCACAGCAAGGGGGACCCCCTCAAACGGCACCGCAGGGGGGCGTCCTGGACTGGAGTCCCCTTCTGGGTTCCTTTATCGAAACGAACTGCTTCCGGAAAATAGTTCTTAAGACTGGGGACGGTGGCGCTGCTACAGTAGGCCTAAATACGGAGAGGGACGTTCACGGGCCATGGTGGAGGGCTGGGAGGTCTTCAGCCCGCCTCGTGCCCCGCGCACTCACTGCGCGCAGCACCGCGTGGACTTCAGTTTTTCGGTCTGCGTGGGGGGCCCACGAGTACGTAACTCGTACCGGGGTGAGCGAATCGGACACACACACACACACGTACACATGAACAGACAAAGAATAAAACAAGAGACACAGATAGAGACAAATAGACACACACACATTCGTATATATACGCAGAGACGGGCGTATACGCAGAGACACACGGAAACATGCATACTGATACGCAGACAGACATGAATGTGGAAACATATGCATACAAACGCATAGACAGCCACACACATAAGACATTGAGACGGATACACGGGCACACAGACTCGCGCACAAGTACACAGATTCCTCGGACACTCCCACGCGCACTCACACGCCCAGGCTGGTGCCGGACCCTGCGCCACACGTAGCCCAGGTGCCAGTCGCAGCCGTGGCCACTCGTGACGCCATCGCCGCTCTCGAGGTCGCGACGATGGTGGCAGCTGCGGCGACGATGGCGATAACGACGGCCCCACGGTCCAACAAGCGGCCACACGGGCCACCGGGGTCCTCACGACAGCGGGTACATGCCGTAGCCCATGGGCGCCGAGTAGAGTCCCAGGTGGCCCATGGGCAGCGCTGCCCGCGGGAAGGCGGGGGACACGCTGGCCGTGGCGTACAGCGGGGCCCCGAACTGGAACGGTAGCCCGAACCCAGCGGGCGTCAGCAGGGGCTTGGCCGCCGCAGCCATCTTCAGCTTCTCGAGCTCGGCCTCCTGGAGGCGCTTGGCCTTGGCGCGCCGGTTCTGGAACCAGATCTTGACCTGGGTCTCGGTGAGGTTCAGCGAGTTGGAGAACTCGGCACGCTCCGCGATGGACAGATACTGCTTCTGCCGGAACTTGCGCTCCAGCGCCAGCAGCTGCGACGTGGTGAACGGCGTGCGCGGCTTGCGGGACGCCTTGTGCTTGCGCAGCGTGCACGCGGGGGGGCTCAGCCGTCCTGCGAGTCGGGGGTGGAATGACGGGAGAGATGGAGAGTTAGGGGGGAGCTGGGGGGGCGAGGGGGGAGTGAGGCTGGAGTTTTGGATGAAGGAGCGCCCGTGGTGCGTGGAAGGAAAAACGCGGCCCAACTTTTCACGCCACGCGCAACTCGCCAATTAACTCGCTTAATATAAAATAAATGAAACGCATTATTATTAAAAGAGGATTCACCTGAAAGAAAAGCCGAGTCTTAATTATCGTTGATAATTGTTATAATTGCGCAAACAAATGTACGGACTTGTGTTGACAAGTCGTGTGCAAGCATGACCTAATCGCGCGCGACATTCGTGACACAACGTCACCTTATAGACAACGGCTGTTGGACAGCGGCAAAGATACAACGCCAGAAAGCATCGTTACATCTGATGAAGAGCCGTTGCCAGAAACGACGGCCTCGCGTTTCCGCTGCAAGCCACAGGAGCGCTCTTTCGCGACGAATTTGCTGCGCGTTTTCAATTAGCGTGAGGTATGGTCAAGAACGACGTGTGACCAACGCAACGTGAACGAGCCCCTTTGCGGCAATGGGCTAATAAAATAGACTGTAAAACACACACCCACGCGCGAGCATTCATTAACCTATCTAAATCGGGGAATAAGTTAAAAGACTTGGGACAATGGGAAACAAACACCGCTCGTCTCGATAAAGTTGACACAATATCGCGAGCATGTTTACCGAGTGCAATATAAATAACGCGTCCCGCGCGCGTGCAGTTTGTGCCACTCATTCAGCGACAGATCGGTGTCGGTGAGCACGCGGCAGGCACAACAACCGCTCGCCCTGGCTAGCGTTCACCAAGGAGATCGGGAAAACATTAAAAGATGCAACTACGTTTACCGATACAATTCTCTTACGAGAAACGTAATATAATTAAAAACACAAACTGTGTTTAAACAATATTCAAATTAATACAACTGTGTGTACATATATACAGTATACAGAACACGAGATATAAACGCGTGTAATTATGGACGAGCACGTTTCGGCGGATTCGGGTGAAGTTATTTAATGTTTTTAATGGCCACGTTGAATTCGAAACTCGGGAGCCACCGACGAGAGTCTTAAACTTCGTCCTCGTATTTTTCGTTGTAATAAAAACGCTCAAATCGGCGGCGCAACTCAATGAAACTGCTTAAGGGATCGTGAAAAAAGGGTTTCTCTCCCAGAGATTCCGATGGCATGCGAAGCCAAGTCGTAGAGGCCATTACGCGCTACCAGCCCGCGATGAAAATCGAGAACACAACACAACTGAGCTGGATAACATCGGTACAAAAAATAGAGAGAGAAGTTCACTCGGCTTGGACGTGTCGATGATATCTACCGTCTCTAGAATCTAGTCTAATTTACATAACGCCACAATAAACATCCGGCATAACAACAACAGCAGCAGCAGCTCGAGTTGCGTGTGCGCGGACGTATCGGGTTGGCACCGGCGCGCAACATTTCGGCTCAAGTCAAAGTCGGTTCCGAGTTTGAAAAGTTACTTCCGAAAACGCAATCGCAGTTCTTTCAGTTCGGCTTTAGGATCCGTTTGTAGTGTACGAGTCTAAACATGCCCACCCTACAGCATCATGTCCACCCGACGGCACGATCACCGCCCAACAGCTAACTGACACGCTTAATAGGGTCGTTCTCCCTAAAAACAAACGAGTGGGTTCTCGACATCGCGAATCTATTCCGAGTCTCCTGCGGCCGGGAGCACCACTGCCCCAACACACACGGCACAGGTGAGCGGGCATCAGATACAACAGGTGAGTGTATCGGCGATACGTACTCGGCGGCGGGGAGTAGGCAGCTCCGTGCATCCACCCGGCCAGGCCGTCCTGGGGGTCGCCTTCCGCGCACGGCTCCCCGCCGTCGGCGCAGTGGCTCTGGGGCCCGGGGCCCGCGGGCCCGCGGTGCAGGAGGCTCTTGACGGAGTAGGGGGAGCTTGCGGGCAGCGGGCCCGGGGAGCGATCGCCGGCCGTGCCGTCGCTGGCCGAGCGGAGCGCCAAGTCCCTGCTCGGTCGCCGGTCGGACATGAGCGACTCCACGCTGAAGGGCAGCGCGCAAACACTCCGCGCGCTCTTCGCGGCCACATCGAGGCCCGACGGTGACGATGACAACGACGCCGACGATGATGTTGTGGACGACGACGACGAAGACGACGGCGAATGTGACGACGAGAGCTCTTCCCGGGCGGCCTTGCCGTCCTGCATCGCGGCGGGGCTGTGTTCCGCGTCCGACGCAAACGAATCTGGAGTCGGGGAAAGTTTATGCGACTTCGCGTCCTCCTCGACCGCGAAGCGAAATGCGTTCATGTCCTCGCGACTAAAAGCCACTCCACCGCAACCTTCACTGTTCTACAAATCCAACAACAACGACAACTGCCACCAGCAGCAGCAGCAGGCAAGCAGCAGCAGGGTCTCCGGGTTGCGAACTCCCGCGCCTCGCTGCGTGTGCGCCTCGCCGCGTCCACCTGGCGACTGCTCTCAGCGCTGCGCAGCCGGGCAGCAGGGAGCGCAGTGCGGTGATGACACGGATCTGGGAGCCGCTGTCGTTCTCATGGCCGGGGGAGGTGGCGAAGTGGTGAGGTGAGGCGGGGTGGAGCGAACGACAGAGAGGAGGAGTAGGAGGGGGGGCATCGAGCTACCGCGCCGGGAAGTCGGGCTCCCATCTCGGCGAGGAGGTTTTAAAGGAGGGGGGGGGGGGGGGTCCGCCCACGGAGGCGGCGCGCCCCGGCTGACGTTGGCCCGCCGGGCCGCAACCATTGGCTGCCCTCGTGGGCCGGCTATCAATAATCATTGCGAGTAAATTAGTCTGTAATCACCCGGACCACTCGCGGCGAGCCGGGTTTATTGATGGCCCCGGGCCCCTCTAATCTCCGCCGAGCAGGAGCGCCGGTGGAGTAATTTTTAGCCCAAAATTGTCTCTGGTCTGGGGGAGTCGCGCCGACTCAACCCCGCCACACGCAATTACTCGCATCATATGGTAGCGTCGATGATGATGATGATGGGCCGTGGGTATTGGCGGTGTTTAGTTAAGTACGCCGCGCTTAACGCGTTCCGAACGTGCGCCGTCGCTAAATGAATCCGCCAGTTTTTAAATTCTCGAACGCGCGGTGCTGGTGGAGGGAGGGGGGTGGAGGATGGTGGAAGTGGTGGACCCCAAGAAGCCTTAAATGGTCCCGCGGGATCGATTGGTTGCCTGGAGGCAGCCCCGGACGGGCTAATTGCGAGTCTAACCCCCTCTGTCACTATTAGGCGGATGGTTTAATAAGGCAGACGAGTGGGTTGTTTTTAGGCGCCAGCGTCGGCGGGATCAAAGCGCGTAACCTCGGGGTGAATGGGCAAGGGTCCCTCCCTCCTCCCGCCCTCCTCCCTGCCTCCCCGCCTCCTCCTCCCCGCCTCCCCCGCCCGCCCGCCCCGCGCTCCGCCCGTGCTGGAATCGCCGCCCTTTGCGCTCCGGCGCAACTGCACGGATCACGCTCAGCGCACCGCTCCTGATCGCATCCCTATAGAGTGCGGTGGTGGTGGTGGGGGGACGATGTTCATGCACGGGAATGGAGAGCGCGAGAGACGAGGGGAAGAGGGAGGAAAGGACAAGAAGAGAGAGGGGCAGAGAGATAAGTGATCGAAAGCATCAGCGGGGTCTGTGTCAGGGGGGGGAGGGAGTAGAGGAGAAGACGGCGGCACGGGGGGGGGGTCATAGTAGGAGGAGGAGACGCTGAGAGGTGGAGAAGACCGGCTCCATGGGATAGAGGAGACTGGGGCCCAGGGTGGGAGGAGACGGGGTGGGGGTACAGGCGAAGCTCGGGGGGGTGGGGGATTGAGGAGACGTCGGCCCCGCCCTCGGCCAGCGGGGAGCGGCGCCTGCGCGCTCTGTTGCTCAATTAGCGATCTAATGCGGCAATTAGCATAATGGGCGTGACCATCGCGAGAATGAGGGCCCGGTTCTCTCCCGAGCGGCGCTCAGGGTCCCCGCACCCCGTGCATGGGGAGTGTAATAGGCGCTCGCTAACTCCGCTTGCCTCCTCTGTCGGGCTGTCGACACCGCCGTCGTGCCGCGCGCTGTGTTTCGAACGCGGCCAACCGCGGTTCGAGTGCTGGCCGTGATGCCGCATTTATTAAAACCGATGGCAACTGGTGTCTGAAAGTGGGGCTGTTTATCCTCTAGGTCGACTCAGACGTGAATGAGTACCCGGTGTTGTGGTGTGCTCATGAAGGTCAGCGTGGGGGGGTACAAACACGTCCGGTCTGATTTTGATTTGAAGCTTTCGTGACTGCAGGAATCCATACTATTTGGTTCTTTCGGAAAAGTCACGTAGGTATAAAATAAAAATAAATTACGACGTTTCGGGCGCAACACATGCGTCCGTCATCGGGTGGGAAAGCATGGTCTGCTGCCGAGGCAGGCTGTTTTTTAAAAGTCTGTCTCAACAGCGGACCATGCTTTCCCACCTGATGATGGACGTTTGTGTTGCGCCCGAAACGTCGTGATTTATTTTATACCTACGTGACGTCCGGTCTGCGCTGCGCGGTGCAGGCCACATCAGTCCCTCCGTGTGCCACGCTGGTTTTTATAGGTACTAGCTAACAACATTTTCCCTCTATCGTCCATAAAAAAACACACTAGGTACAAGTCTTTGCATGAATACGCAGACAGAGGCGACGTGGTCCGAACGGCTCCAAACCCCTCGTTTCACTGCCGCCCTGTTAGCCACTGGGCCGTTGATGATTGTAGTCACAGTTCGACTCCCGCAGGCCAGCGGCCCGTAACGATTCAATCTGTACCTTACACATGTATTATTTACTCTACCGGCTGTGAAGAGGAAGTGGGTAACTTTAAGCGGACGAAGCATATAGCTCAACATAGATATTCTTAGCGTGAGTAAAACGTTGGTAAAAATACAATGACTCGCGATTGTATTTCTGGCTGCCTCCAACACGAAAAGATACAATCCTCCACGGGGCTTTGGCCAGTCTGGAGACTCGGGGAAGGCTTCCTCGCCGAGCTAAATCCTCACCATCAGCTATGACCTATCCACTGCTGGATGAAGGCCCACTTCTCCGCAAGCCGTCGCGCGACGTCAACAATCCGCCTGGCTCCTCGTGTGCACGAGCTCACACTGTATCGCTGCGGACGTCCAACTCACCCTCAGGTAAACACTCGTCCTTGCACTTACTATTGTTATTTAAAAAAACGCAATAAAGTTAAGCATCTGGCCGCCGTCATTCGTGATACATCACGAGGGAATAGATCTCGCTCGTGCGGGAAGGCGTGGTGCCATCGTGAATTACGAATGTCGAGCAGCCTCTTTGCTGGCACGAGAAGCGTTTGCAATTAAATTCCTCTGCGTCACCACAACCACACGCGCGCCCACCTCGCGATCCGGTAGTTTGAATGCGTTACAGTTCGGGTCTCGGCTGTCGGGACTCATCTCGTCGCCGCCTCTCTGTGCCGCTAAAACAACAAGAACCCGTTTGTACGTACGAATGTTGAACTTTTTTCGCGCCGTACGTAGCCAGCCGTGCTAATCGGAGGTCAAGGAATGTTATAGATTAGAATCGGACGTTTCAGAAGTTTATTATCCGAGTGATTTGCCAACTGAGCTTTGCAGCTCTTTTTCAAGGGTGACTCAACGGCAAACACGGCAGCAAGAGTTAAAAAAATAATTTGTAAATATAAACACAAATTATAACGGAAATAAAAATACAATTATCTCACAAATCAATTACGTACATTCCCATTTGTATTATTTCGACCTCAATAGTGTGCGGGCCGCGAGATTGGAACGTGCAATTTCCACTGATGTGGCGCGCACACAAAGGCAAAACAAAGGGGCAGTCACGGGTACAACCGCTCGTTCGACGTGACGACACTCACACGTGACAACTCCCGCCGGTGTGACGTCACCGCCTGTCGCCTCCCTCTGGATCCTGGGAAGTGTTCCCCAGTCTCGTCGTCAGTCACGCGCAGCTCGTGGGGGGCCCGGGGGCGTGGTGGGGGGATGGGGGTGAGACTGTGGGGGAGGGGTGGGGGGCCTTTATTCAGAGACTGACGCCACACGGGTTTTTACCTGCGGGGGAGGTGGGAGGGGGGTCAGCGAGTTGCTATTAAATAATAGCATTTGATTTTAAATGTTGTTTATATGTTTATGTCGTGCACACCGTGTTCCTGATTATGACTAATTTAAATACTGTAGTTGGCTCAAATACGTAGGGTGGGGTGGAGCGGTGGCGCAGTGGTTAGCGCACTGCGCTGTAAGACCCCGGACCTCTTCATCTCGATTCCCCGGCTCTCATTCGTGGCGAGTGAACTCTGGACCGGTTCTGGGCCACCCTCCCTCTCCACAAACCACACTGACCGGCGTGGTGAAGTATGGTTTAACGACTCCCACGACCGACACAGTGTGGGCAGCAGGCCTTCATCCAGCAGTTGATGACAAAAGACGACACACATGAAACATCTCCTGCTTTATCTCTATGGCCCATTTAATATCTGGTTTTACACTATATTTACATTATTGTACGTGTTTCCAAATCTCACGAGTCATGCCATCTTAGTTACTGGTTGTCAACAGTTCTAGTTAAGATTTTGTAGGATACTGTACCATCTTCTGGAGTTTACTGAAACTCCCGCTGTTATGGAGTGCCTCATGCTGCCAGCTATGGCTGCACAGTTTGGTCGTACATGTTATGTATATCGTTTATTATTAAATTTGAATCACAGTTCCTATTATCACTGTTACGTTGTTTTATAGCTTTAGTTTGGTCATTTCGAAAACGTTTTGGATTAGCCATATTTGGTTGTTGTTGTACAGAGTTAGACCGATAACTTTAATCTAAATTGTCTTATGGTTGTTATTGTTTGACTTGCATCCCACTGGGATTTTTGCACACAGCATTGATATACGGTGCTTCTTCTGGAAGACTTTGCTGTTTTTTTCCTGGATTTTTCTGTTGCGCGTCGTCACTTTAAGATGTTTTCTTGTTCATGTTTTTGTTTGTTGCGGTTGCACCCGATCCAAGAGCCGAATGGCTCACAGGGCCATACCTAATAAATGAAACTGAACTAAAAACTAATGAGCTGAACTGCAACAGAACAACCAATCACTTATCTCCGAAGAAAATGTCCCTTTTCCGGATTATAAGACGCACCCCGTGCGTGCGGGAACAGATTTCCGCAACTTTATTGACAGCGGGGCACGCATCTCGAACTGTCCGGATTACTGTCCGGATGATCTTAAAGTTCGGGGAATACGGTAGTCAATGAATTAGTTGAGTACCGTACTTTACTTCGATCATCTCACGATTAAACACACGTGGGGCCCCCCAACAAAAAACACAAACGTGCCCCCCCCCCCACCACCAAGCCCAACACGGGCGAGGGAGCGTGTGGGCCTCTGGCCGTGAGAGTCGAGTCGGCACCACCTCCACACGCGTGCAATTACGTCTCTAGTGCCTCTCCGGCGGGTAATTTTTGACTTAAGGGATAACGAGAGCGATATAATTACGCGGCAAATGATATACGGCGGTAGTACGTAGGTGCCCTGTGTGTGTGTGAGTGAGTGTGTCCGTGCGGCGTTGGTGGATGCAGAGGTGGAATTCAGCACTGTACCGGACAGCATTCGCACAGAGATGCCTCCG